TAGGGGCCAAACAGCAGTGAGTGAATAGACGAATGCCGCCGAGCGGCATTCGGCTTGGCTATTCTGCTCGGTACCTCAGTGGTACAGAGCACAATAGCAAACAATTAAAGTCTTCTAGCAGAAGAACAACTGGGCTGGCTCTGTCCAGTTGTTATTGTTTAATGACAGATAAGCATCCCCAGGTTATTTGGGGACGCTGATCTGTCATTACAGCTGTCATTTGCGAGGCATACGGCCGGCCCTCCGACAGGCCTTTTGCCCTGCTTCGGCTGTCATTTTCGGCGCAGTCGAGCCGAAGCATATGCCTTCGGCTCGGCTGCCTTCGGGAGCTGTAGGGCTATAGTGAATAGCCCGTACAGTAGCCCTTCGGTTCACCTAAACCGAAGGGCTTCTGCAATCAAAGCTAGCCAAAGGATCAGCCAAAGCTTTGGCTGTATCCTACGGCTAGCTTTGTGACTAACCCCCTATGTGTTACAATAATACACATGCACTAACATAACAAGGTTTTATACATTGAGGTGCACTGCATTAAGGCAGCCTATTCATTTTGAATTGGTTGACAGGACTCGACACGACACAAGAAGATAGAACCTGTACCTTTTTTCAATGCACTTAATAACAACACATAGGTGGTTCACATCAGTGCACTGTTGTGCAAGTGTTAAGGTGTGCTGGCAAGGTGTGGTTTGTGTGTTAATAAAAAAAAAAATGGCACCGCAAAGTGGATTGTGTGTTACCATGCGTTGCAGTAAAATGCAGTGAAATGTGCATGATCCATCCAATTGTGCAAATAAAAATTTGGTGTTTTTATTTCTCTTGCACGTGACAGGGTATTCAATGTGAACATAGTTTCATTATATTAACTAAGCTAAGTAAATATGATTCCTGGTATTCCTGCATTTGGTTGGAAGAGTGGTGTGCTGTTTTTTCATGGTTTCTAAAGGAAAAAGAGCAGCACATTACTTTCAACTGCACAGCAGTAGTAAGTGAAACGCTCACCTTATCTGCAAGTTGCCTTGCATTTAGCACAATTCACTCCCCTCTCCAAAATGCAGACCTATTTACCAGGTGCTGTTTTTAGAAGAAGTCTCTTAGTCAGGGCCATTATCGAGGCAGCAGGGGGGCCAAGTCCTGGCAGTATACTTGTCCTGGGTGCTGAGCCTTCTGTGGAGCTGGAGCAGATAACAGCATTGGGGTTATCATGGTAAAAATTCTCTCTCAGCCCACTCTTCACGGAGATGGGAATACATCATTACAACAATGCAGCGAGCTACATAAGGTGGTGAGTGGACCAGATCCTATGTAGATAATGAATGTGAAATTGATCAGTTTTTGGGACAGAAAAAAACAATAAAAGTGCCAGGAAATCATACGTTTTATTAAGGATATTGGTGGATGTGTCAGAAATATGATTTTACAAAATGCAAGAAGCAAAAAGGTATGTTTGAATTTCAATTTTGACCAGAGTTGAGCTTTAAATATTTTCTCTGAGTTCTACGTATAATATTAAATGTATAGTATTCCCTGTTTCTAAAGTGGTATGATATTGACTGAAGGCCACTTAAGGTACACTTGAGTGTACCTTAACCCCTTCATGACTGAGGCCCTTTTTTCAATTTTTGCACCCATGTTATATTCCACGGCGTCTCAGTATACTGGGAGCTGTATGAGCTACTGTATGAGCTACTGAGCTTAGGGTGACGGGAGGACGCTAGTTTGTGTCCTCCAGTTACCCTAAGGAGAACTATGGGGAAAAGCCCTAACCCCATAGTTCTCCTTTAAGTGCTATTGCAGGGTCATAGCCAAGAACAAAATATCCTAAAATACTTAAAAATACCAACCATATTCAACCATTTTGCTCAGCTTGGTTAATATGATGGTACTTTTAATTTTTAGCAGAAATGTAACATTCTGAATTATCAGGCTGTATGTCATATGCTTTGACATTTTTAATTGTGCTTAAACTGACCCATTTATTAATCACAAACATTTCAACTAGGTATACTTGCATAAGAAGAATGTGGGTACTTAAACTGCCCACTGTCTGCTCTGCCAAAACATTTCCGTGTGCACAATAAATCCTCAACTGAAGTCCACTTGGTTACCAACCAACCTCCAGGTCACTACAGGTACAGGTACTGCGGTGGATGTCGGACTGAGGAACCACTGATGAATTTAAGGAACCAGAAAGATTATTTCTCAGCGGACTTCCGCCAAGGATTTATTTTAAACCAAGCAGTGTTCTGGTGTTCCAGGCAGCGAGGGTAAGTATTTACGGTACATTCTGATGAAAATATACATAGTGTTGCTTTGAGCAGACTTTACTATATTTTCTAAACATAATCTCCATTAATTTTTCTTTCCATTTCTGTAAAACGTGTAAAGTCTATATTGAAATAATAAGTATATTTACAGGATTGGTACATCTAAGAATAATTTTTTACATCAAAGTAGTTTTTAGTATTGCTATAACATCTATTTTACTACCTGCTATTATATTCCAAGGCTGAAAAGTTTTAGAGTTACTTGCAGTGGCCTTGAACACATTTGAGTAAGGCAGGCATTTCTAGAGAAAACAATTTTTCTATAAATTTGCCCATACTGAGCTGTCGCATATTTCACTGCAGAAAAGAACAAGGTTTGCAAGGTTTATAAATTCCAGGGGAAAAAGTGTAGTGATTTAGGAACATTTAACTTAAGAGATATAAAATGCAAGACTGGAAAATGGAAATAATCTGCATAATAGCACTAAAAATCTCTAGGTGTCCTTTAAAAAGACATGCGCCTAAAGATTTAGGGACAGTAGAAATGTACAGTGCATGCTAAATATATAT